GGGGTTTGGTTTGAGTTTTACGATTTTTCTTTTGCTGATCCCTGTATAACAAAAATTTGAGACTGTCATGTTTTTACCGCGAAGTTGTACTTAATGTGTATATCTACGGTCGTAACAGACGTTCACAATTATAACTTAGTTTTGTTTTGTTTATACGCAATTTAGTGGGTATGGCTGTTAGACAGAAATTGAGTAGTTGAAAATGGTTGAGTCTATGCAAGCATGTTTTTTTACTGTGTACTTTAACATGGGGGTTTTTTCTCATCTCTTGTAATTAAATTACTGCCAATCTTCATCTATCCGCTACCACCTGCCACGCAATAGCAGCAAAGACTTCTTTTTTAATAAATAATTTTTTTAAAACCCAAAGACACGACTCTGCTTTTGCTTGCACATACACACATACACACACACACACACACACACACATACACACGCACGCATACACACACATACACACACACATACACACACACTCACACTCACACTCTCCCTCACACTCTCACACACATACACACATACCCACACACAAACACACATATACACACATACACTCACACTCACACTCACACTCACACTCACACACATACACACATACACACACACACACACCTACACAGACACACACACTAACATACATTCACTCGCACACAAGCACTTAACTTATGCTTTAGAAGATATTCTTAGTGTCAATATATTATTGTTCTCAAGCTTGCCTTGCTCCCCCGCAAATACAAAAGTGAAGCGTGCAGACAAAATGAGTTGCTTCTCAGATCCAAGCCTTATGGAAATAGATACATCGCGCGATTAGGGGAAATTTTTACAATTTATACATATGGAATAATAAATGGTACGTTATACAAAAAGAATGTGGCATCAATAGAAAATCTACTAATCTGACCCTATAGTGAGGACTTTTGGCCAATATTTCCGTTTGTGAATTGCGAGAAGTAACTCACTTTGTCAGCACGCTTCACAAATTATACTATTAATTAATTTAACTGTTCTGTGGGAAGAAAAGTGTGAAAGTGTTCATGCTGAATTTGTAAAGAGGAATGAACATTGCCCGACAGTGACTTAGGCTGCTTGTAAATGGAATAGTAGAGGTTTTGTTCGTTTTTTTCATTTGTTCGTTCATTTGTTTTGGTTTTGTTTTGGTGTTGTTGTTTTTTACCTTGCCGTTTTCTTCTTCGGTCTCAGATCATCTTATGATTCAAGTAGCTATAGCATTGCCTTGTACCCTATACTGAAACTTTGAAAATGAATTCATCGTTGTCTTTTTTTTTCATATTTATGATCCATATTTATACAGATGTTGAATATTATGTTATACAGCAGTAGGGCCTACATGATACACAGTATAAAAGTGCAAACATTAGTATGTTAACAATAATAATATGTGAGGCGTCGTGGTGAAATCAGGCGCTCGTCATAATAAGTAATTCACAGAAACCAGCATGCCGGGAATTTTTTTTCAAACCATTTTTTTTTGGGGGGGGGGGTATTACCTTTTACGTCCATTTATAAATGCATTCAAGTATGAATATTATTGAAAAAAAAATGTTTCAAGGACACTCAAGCTTGGTAGTTTGGCAGCCATTTTCTCGTTTATTTTACCTGTGACACCAGACGACCCCCCCCCCCTTCATTCACAAGATTATAGA